ATATATATATCTGGATTCTGATCACTGGATTCCACAGATTGGCTAGGTGGTCTCCCGGTGTTTCTACAAAACAGCGTCAGTGGCTTTTCATTTCCTGGCTGACTGACCAATTTGATGGATGGCCGTATTTTATCAGCACTCGGACATTGTGCCTTGAGTGAGCTGGACTCGGTCTGCAAGCAGTTCTATTGAGGGTCGCGGGCCGGCTGTGGTCCCTGGACTTTGCTGGCCAGATAGATTTGATCTTGGAGAAGCTGATAGATCGGCTCGGTGAGATTTGTCCACATTATTTGTCTGATTGGATTCACCACATTGAGATGCACCAGAAGAACTCTAAAGCATTTGGAAAATTGTTATCATCTACCTGACTCTTTCTGTTCCCAAAACAACTGATTACAGAATCTGGATCTCCCCGACAACGGCCTTGATCTGTTGACAAAATTCTTCCTGGCTGGATTACGTCGAAAAGGCTATGCCCCATACCCCCCACCCGTCTAATCTGGTTTCCTGAGCAGTGTGCATGCCACACGAAATGAACAGTTCCATCAATATTCTGAACTTTGGCTGCGCTGGTTTTGGGGACTGGATTCTTCGGGTCCCCTAATCTCACTCCTCTGGCTAATAAATCTGTCCTATGCAGAGGTTTTTTCATAAACATCATAGTGTGTCACGGTGTTGATATAATATGTGATGTTTTTGRTTTTTTCCTCATCTTCCCTTGTGTGTTTTATTTAGTTTTTCTGTTGTTCTGTTTTMAAGGTAGCGCAACTATGTTTGCTGCATGACTAGTCTTAACTGCCCCTTCCCCACTTCCTTGAATGCACAGCACCTYGTGAATTTACTTCTGTGAAAGGCGCTAAAAAAACTTTACTCACTTACTTTTTTATGACATAGTTTGTATTTGTGTGTTAATTTGCTGTTGTGACAGCTTATTTTATCACTTAAGTGTTTTTTTAACAGCTAACACTTTTTTATTTGTGTTAAAAAAGATATATCTGTATTTATATATGTATGTGTGTGTGTGTGTGTGT